AATAATATGGATATTATATATTTATATAATATAAGTTATATAATTAATATAATATATTATTTATATATATTAATATTAGAGATGTCAAACTGTCTCGTCGTTCGCGAACAACTCGTGTTCGGCTCGTTCGTTAAGAAATGAACACGAACAATTACTTCATGAACAATTTCGAACACGAGCTTATTTCAAATAAACTAAATTTCAAACAAACCGAACACGAACACAAGCTCTGTTCGTTCATGTTCGGTTCGTTTACACCCCTACAAATGCCTGAGGAATTGGAAGCACCCACTTACCTCGGCTTGTTAGATGTCAGGAAGTGTTGGTGGGATGCATCTCGTAGACCTTGAAGCCGGAGAGGTGAAGGCTGACCTGAAATCACATGACCAAGTCGGAGGCAATATTGGAGGAAAATTTTGCTGATTTTTAGCTGAAGCTGGAGGTAACAGAGATGGAGTTGGCTGTGCTTCGACATCAACTTGAGTTGAATGGTCTGGATAGCTTTTTCTCTAGTGGCTGATTTATTATTCGGCGTCTTCTTCAGTCAAGAGTAATGTCATTGGATGATGTAAATGATAATGATTTACTCTTCTTATATTCATATATTTGTAATTGTGCGTGTTTGATATTTTCTTTTTTATGTCTTTTTACTGCATTTAGATTTGAAATCTTTATGAAGTTGCTCAATAATAACTTGATAGTTGTTTGATACGTTTCTTATGGTTCGTCTTTTATTTTTTTTGTTGGCCTTTTTTGGGTATAAAAGACAATTTATAATTTAATTGGAGTTTGTATCTCTTGATATTCTGATTGTGGGTATCGAAGCGAGATTGTTGTGCGTTTATACTTTTATAAAGAAAGAAAGTAGAGGTATCATTGTGTCTCCTGCTCGCCTCCTCGAGCCTTTTGATCTTTAATTTCTTCGTGACATCCTCATCGCCGACAATGGTGGTCAAATTGAATAAAGGTGTTATTTCATTCTTGACGGCCGAGTTCTCAGAAGGAACCCACATAGATGAGAAGATATTGGTTGATGCAAGCTTTACTTTCTTCGTGACATCTTCATCGCCGACAATGGTGGTCAAATTGAATAAAAGTGTTATTTCATTCTTGACGGCCGAGTTTTCAGAAGGATGTTAGAAAATTCATGTTTCAACTTTATACACGCATACTCTGTTCAAAAATGCAACTACCATAAGGTTCGAAGGAGGGATGAGGCTCCAAATAACATTCACCATAATGAGATTTGTGTTTTTTTTATCAGTTTCATTCATATCCGAGGTTTCCTTTGTACAAGGAGATTAAGGATATCTTGAACTTCTTTAGACTTGTGTTGACTCAAATCAGCCCTAACTTTTTATCAGTTATAATGATCATGACCCTATTCCTTTGAGCCAAGATTTTAATATGCTCAATGAAAGTCTTTAGGACTGTTCTTCAGCCGAAGGTGTACTTGACAAAACAGTGATTTTTTCTCCTATAGTGACGACCATCATTCGTATCGAAAATAAGATTCAAGACTAGAAGAGTAAATTTTATTTTTCTCGAAGAAAGGTAGGCTAGAGAATTCTTACATCACCCCTGTCTTATGTGGAAGGAGTATTAGGCATGTGTAAAATACTCGTTGTGAAACATTTCAGCTTCTCATGCCTTTATGGAGTGGAGCTTAATGTGAAAGTTTTATTAGCTGTCGTGCTTGAGAAACATTATACTTAGTGAGTTTTTTTATTTAAATGATCAAATTTGAATTCTTTTATGAACACTTTGTCCCCGATATTAGGGAAATTGTCAAGGCCTCCCTTCGTTATGAAGTATAAGATGAAAGCAAAGTTGGCGGGATAATGAGGCCATAATGGCTTCGTCTAGTCTAGGTGATCTAGTTATTCTTATGGATGATGACGATGAAGATGGGGAAACTTCCTTGCTACTATTGTAGGAAAAGCATCAATAAAACGGGTTGGTATGAGAATCAACAGATGAATCAGTTCGGAAGTTCCTTGAGTGCCTGCTCAAATCAATTTGCAACCCAAGCGAAAAGTTAAAGCGGTTATGGAAAAAGGTGATACCTGAAGAGCCTCGCTTGAATAGGTGGAGAGTAGAGGTGACTAATAGTGGATCGTCAGAGGCTCCCTCTAATATTTCTTCAACGGCTATGGCGGGCGAAGAGTTTGATTTGAAAGGGTGAATCATCTAATTAACAAGAAGAAGATAAACTTGACTCAAGATCGGATGTCTGGCGATCCCTATTCAAACAAACATTACTTAAAGGGGCATATATTGAGTTTTGTTCAATTGAGAAATCAAGCAAAGGAGAACATGCAAAGACTCCATTTGCTAGTAAAGAAGAGCTTGGTGAATGCATGACAATGGGGTTACTCGATGTAGCAATCACATCGCCAGCTTTTAGATAGTTATTAGGAGTAGGCTCCAACCTATGAAGAGGCAAGAAAAAAGCTAGGGTCTTTGAAGTCGGAGAACATCAGGTTGAGGGCGAAATTTGTGAAAAGTGGCTGCAAGCATGCTGACTTGCAATTGGACCTAGATCAGCTCCAGAATCTTCAAACAAAAAACCAAGTAAATATGGATGATCAAAAGACCAATTTCACCAGTTTAAAAGAGAGAATAAAGCCTTGGTGGTAGTACTGGAGGCTCAATCTCCCGTGGTTGATGAGAATACTAGGGTCGATGAGACTGACAAATAAGTCACATCAAGAATTTATCGATTTGAAGAAACTTTCAGAGGGCATAAAAATAATAATGATTTGAGGGTCTTAATGGCCTTAGAATTAAGAGAGCTTGGGTTCATTGGATTCCTCTCATCGAAACGCTTGATTTGCCTATAAGTATGTTGAATTTGGAGTTTATTTGATCATTCAATCAACAATCTGAAGCTTCTAAATGTTTCTTAATGGCCACGATCTCGACTTGATTGGACCCTGATTGAATCAATTTTGTTATCATTGGGTCCGCCTTGTCGAGATTGTCAGTTTAATTATAAACTTGTTGAAATCAATGTCTTATATTATCTTGAATTTGAATTTCAAATGTTTCTCATTGAAAATATTTTGAGATTGTAATAGATCAAAAAATTTGTTAATGGTGCACCATTAACATCCAAATAATTAAAAAAAAAAAGTAACTTTATTATAATTTTACAATCTACTATCCAAATAATTTTTTTAAAAAAAAGTAACTTTATTATAATTTTACAATCTACTTTATCTTGAATTTAAATTTGAAATGTTTCTTATTAAAAATATTGATAAGATTCGTGTGACACGATAAAAATTTGTTAACAGTGCACCAATAAAATCCAAATAATTAAAAAAAAAATTTACTATTATATTATGTTTCCTTTTGTGACCTCATGAGGGTAAGGACATCCTGTGAGACATAAATTGGAAGGCCCTTACTCTCTCAAGGGAGGCCAGAAAAAAGTGGGGGGCATTAGGAGTAACACGCACACACTAGAACTTTTCACCTCCACCACTCATCTCATAAAGAGCCCATTTGGGGGCATATTATAAGTGAGGCGGCATTTTTTAAAACTCCGCCTAATTGTTTGGTTTGCGCATTTTTGAAAACGCTGCTACCACGTTTAGGTTTTTTACACTAAACGCAAACTGCGGGTCGACCGCATGCCGTGTTTTAACTTATCCTGAAATGCATAAGCTGCCCCAAACAGACCGAAAGTCTCTAATTGTATGAACTCATGATCCTCTCAAGTCCTAAAAGATTTAATAGTCACAACAACACCAACAAAAAATAAATAAATAAATAACTTTTTAGGCAATAATCGTTCAAAACTGTGCTAACCTTTGTCTTATAATTCAAGAATAAAAATTTTATAAAATATTAAAAAAATATCTTATAGTTTATAAATATATTTCTCATTTTATAATTAATTTTTTAAATAGCTTTAACGTGAGAAAAATCTTCCCTTTTCTTAAGCAACACTTCCCAAGCACAAATCCTCATTTATGCCAGAGCATTATGGTCCCTTTGAGACCACGCACTGCGATTGTCTATGTTTAGATAAACTGTGATTTAAAAGCTTTTCAAAAAATTGTAACTGAAATCTATATTTTTTCACTGATCTTGATTTGCTGCGGAGTTTAACCACCAACCGCAACATCTCAGCTAAACAGCTAAAAGAAATTAGGAGATAATATTATGACGAAAATCTCGACAGGCTGATGAAGACAGCATCACACTACATATGTTTGGCAGCGTAGTTTCATCCAAGGCAAGGAACACACAATCTAATTTACTAGAACTAATATTTTCTCCTGGATTAGAATAGAGTGCCCATCTCAAATACATTTCACCTTCATCTCACCCGCACATAATATTTTTTTTCATTAAAACACAACAAACACACGTGAAGTAATACATAGATATCAGCACTAAGCCGCAGCTGCCAGGGGACAAGTAATCAGCTAGCAATCGGGAGGCAGAGAGAGGCTACACTTGCGTGGGAGCTGCATGGCGAGATCAGGATCAATACCAAATGATGGCAGCAGCGGCGAGCTACGGTAGGAGCAGAGGCAAGGCAGGTCGGCCTGTTCTAACGCCGAGCAGCAAGCCACGGTGGGCTCGCTGGGGCTCAGCCCGCTCACCGCTGGCCGGCATTCGTCGAGCTCATCGGAGCTGATGTTGCATAAGCTGACAGCCGTTGCTGCAGTGGCTAGAGATAGCATGGTGAGCAATAGTATGGCTGGTGCGCGGATGGTGGAGGACATGACTGAGGAGTTGTATTGAAAGAGGGGAGGAGGGATGTTGAAAGAGCGATGGAGAGTGGGAGTATGTATAGAGAGAGTGAGAGAGAATGGTGGTGGGGGGGGGGGGGGGGGAACGGGGAGGGGAAGAAGGTGGCTGATGTCGCATTACTGTTGCGTTGGTGTTGTTTTGAGTTGTCATTGTCTCTTTGTCATGGAGTGATTTTGGAATGAAAGATTTCTTATAGGATAATTGCAATATAAATTAGAAAGGAGTATATATGAAATTTTATATTGTACTAATCATAAAATAAATTCATTCATATTTAAGCCTATTTGAATAGAAATTGCATAAGAATTGTTGTGTGCTGAAAAAATCAAGAGATTAGAGTGATTATTTAACATGTTGACGTTGTACGAAATCCAACGCACACGCACATATAAAAAAGGAAACAACAAGATTTTTACGTGGAAAAGCTTGAGAAGGAAAAAAAACAATGTGCCAAGTATAATCAAAATAGTGCACTATATGATTATGAAAAGAGGAGTGAAACCTTCTCTAACAACAAGAAGAACGGGGTTACAATCTTACATCGAGGATTATACTTGTCTTTATACAGCATAAAGAAAATACATGTGTTTGATGCAAAAATTTTATACTTGTCTTTATATAGCATAAAGAAAATACATGTGTTTGATGCAAAAATTGTATTTAGAGTATGGGACTACAAGTTTGCAAGAAGGGGTATTGGCAGCCAATGGTTGGGGGTGACAAACGATGATAACTAGCAGTGGTCCACGCTACTGATGTTGGTGGTTATCACCGGGTCTTCTCTCCAAAACAAGCTCTGGAGAGAGGGTCGATTTATAGCGTTTTGGGAAGGGGCATTTTTTTAGTGTATAACTTCTCTACTCACCTGATTGGACGATAATTGTTGATTCCTTTTTTATCATAAATAGTTCTTAAAAATTGAATTTGTGATATCTTTAATCAAGAAAATGCATCGAGATTCATGTAAAAATTTTGTTAAAGAGACATCAAGAATGTCTTAACATTTTGGCCTAAATAAGCTTCATTGTACAAGCACGTCATCTTGTAACATTTTTTCAAAAATCATTATTTCTTTATTAGGATCTCAATTTAAATTGTTTGCCACATTTTTTAAGTCCATTCACATTTTTCTTCGTAATAGTAAGTCCATATCATTCTCCAATTAATGTTTTTATCATAATCTCTTCTTTTGTCTTCAACTAAATAAAGACCTCTTCCTTACTGGTAAGTACCTTTCTTATTGAACTTCAAGATAGATGTACAATTGAAAACTCTGGAACTGGTTCAACGAGCCTCTAGGCAGCTCCGCTCGATCAATTTGACCAAATAACTTGATCAGAAGCACAAACAGATAGCCTACCTATGCCCTACCTATGGAGATCATCGCACAAATACTCAATCGAGGCAACTCGACAACTCTCCCATAAAGCTCCATGTGCCTAGTAGCTGGTTTGGCTGAACTCCCCATAAGATCAACACCTCACATGTCCAAGTTGGCCACTAGGAGTGTTACCAAAAGTGAAGCATGAGAAAAAGCTTTTTATAAAGAAAAGTTACCCGTGCAAAGTATTACCAGGTTAATATTAATTATAAAGCCCGCACTAGAACATAACAGAACGAATAAATCATAGATCTCTTAAGATTCATGTATAATGAGTGTTTTATTTGTAACAATAAGCCAGTCCCTCTATAAATGGGGGTTACTGTAATAGAATGGACATATCCTTTAATGATGAAAGATATGTTTATAATTGAAAGTCTATGGATTTGGTTCAAAGTGTGAAGCTAGATGGCTCATGAAGCCAATTAGACAGCTCGACTTGATTAATTCGATTAAATAACTCGATCAAGAAACCCTATCGGTTAGCTTGTCTAAGGTGATCAGCATATAGATACTCAATTAATTTTAATTTGGATCGATTTTAATAAGAAAAATGATCAATTCTATTTTTAAAATTTCTTATTTTGATTTCACTCGTTCTAACTGTTTTGTGAATCGATCCATTCAAACCAACCGAAACTTTACTTTTCTTCTTTTTTGCACATTTATGCATTTTACAAGCAACAACAAGTCATGTAAAGCTGAAACAAGCATTTGAGCTTATATAATACAAAAATTCAGATAGTATATTGACCTTATTATTCCAACAATGCATAGAATACACTTATAGCAAACCGAAAACAAATATAAGCATATGAAATAAACAAGCGCAAAAAGTTCCTTCAGAAAATTATTATAATTGGGAACACTATTTAAAATAACACTTTTTAAGAATCTTAACAGCAAGAAAACTTACTCGAAACTTGCTTTGATGCATCATCACTTCCATGGCTGTCAAGGGTTACCCTATTGGCAGACAGCTCCCCTTTGTAGGAATCAGAGTTCAATGCCTTCCTACTGATGTTGTTATATATCTCCTTGATGACTATTTCGAAGGCTGTCTTCACATTCGTTGAATCTAGGGCTGAAGTTTCGATAAAAAAGAGCCCTTCGGCTTCTGCAAGGCTCTTGCCTTCCTCGACTGAAACAGCCCGAATGTTTTCCAAATCACATTTGTTTCCAACCAACATTTTTGCAATGGTGGTGTCCGAATGTGCTGCATCGAATTATCATAGAATTTTAAAACTGGCGGATGAAAAAGGCAGAAAACGAAAAAAGTACTTTGATGAGAGGAAAAGAAAACATAAATTAGTTAAGATAAAATTTATAAATTATCAAGTGTGGAATGCAATTTGGGGAGTGAAAAGAGGCAATCGGGTCAAGTTACCATGACAACCCCGTGCTAGAAGCAGCGCGCCAGTGCCAGGTGCCCGAGAGCAAGGCAAGCTCGCACACAGAAACTCAAGCCTCGCATTAATACAAGCTGAGTTTCCTCAGACAATCACACTTTTAATGCTAATTTGAAGGAAATGCACTTCCAACTTGCATGCATCAGTTTGAAACCAAAAGAAAATTGCATCAAGTCAAAGATGGTAAACTGCAAGCTCATTTTCTTTTCAAATTTAGGTTTTGATTATAGAAAATTAAATTCTTGATTACATCGCATGTTCAATTTTGGTTTTGAATTCCAATTTTGATTCTCGATTAAAAATTTCTAAAAGTTCATGAACATAAATTAAGCAAGGAGCAAACTTAAATTCAAAATATTAAAATATAAATTCATAAAGAAACAATAAACCATTTCAACATCTAAAATATCCTCTAAATTTTATTCATGAACTATAATTTCCTCAGTAAGTTCAGGTTCCATTAAATAGCAATGACTCTTGCACTAGTGTATATTTAATAGGCTTTAGATGAGTTATTAGTTCTTAGTAGAATCACTGATTCAAATTTGCAAATAGAAGAATAGTCCTAACATTCATAGCATCTAAAATTATTTATATAAGTCTCATGCGACATTTTTAATCAATTTTATATTAGTTCCTCTGCAATTTTGTTAAAACCATTAGTAAAACATATAATAATAACTAAATAATCTAAACACACAATATTTAACAACAGAACCATAAATTTTGCATAATACTCAAACCATCATATTTAGTTTGATCATAACACTTAAAATTGATCTTGTAATTAATCCCAGACATTCACGAAATGATAGTTTTTGTTTAATTCTATATTCTGTGAAAGCCCGTGACTATTTCATAGCACAACAATTAGCCAAATGACTAAACATGCTTTGTTAGTTTAGTCATTTTATTTTGGCAAAAAATATCCACAAAGGCCATCTAAATAGTAGACCGGGACAAGGGATTGTTGGCACGAGTGGCACTATAGCCACTGTTCCTTCATTCTGCTTCCTTCTCCTTGTATACACCCTCAACTCCCTTTCAGTCTGAATCCCACCTCCTCCCGGTTCTATCTCCTCATTTTCCGGCTCCTCAATCGATTCATCCCCCACCACAGGACAAATCATCGCTTCCACATGAGCCAACCTCTCACCATCAATACCTACCCCCTCTTGCCTCATACCTCCAATATCCGACGAGTCACCAAAGGATGAGGCAACCTCCAGGATAAAGTATGGCTCGAATTCTCTATAGAACACATCCATGCTCACAAACAACCTCTTCTTTATCGGGCTCTAACAAACATAACCCTTTTGGGTAGCAAAATAACCCGCGAAAACACACTTACAACTCTGAGATCTAGCTTCTCTACTTATGGTTTGTTGTCTTTCACAAAACATACATAGCCAAATACTTTCAATGGGAGTATCTCGCTATTATCTCATTTCAAGATCTGACAATGAGACTTCCAATCCAGCAATCTCAATGACATTCTGTTGATCAATTAAACAACTGCCAAAAATACTAGCCCTCAAAGAACTTCAGGACATTCATCACAATCATCATGCTTCGAACTACCTCTAGAAAATGTTTATTTGACATGTGGATGCATTCTTAGGAACGTAAGTGTTCGTTCATTTGACTTTGGATCTACTGAATCGCTTCGGATGATGCATGTATGTATCTATCTAATTCATCATTTAAAGAGTTTCCATAAATTACATATGATCAAATTTCACAGCATATCACACACTAAGGCTGGTGTGTATTAAATAAGCATTAGATAATTTCCTCAACAATTTTAAGCAAAGGTGCAATAGTCTTGTTGGGATAATAAAAACTCTATCTAATCATGCATATATCTTGAAGAATGAACCCATTATAATGCCATTTAAGAGGGCCAAATTGATTTTATTCTGTTTCGCTAAAGTGAACAAAAACATACTTAGAATGGCAAATCAACCCCAAACAAAACTTTGGGCAACAAACCAACATCGTGGATGCTTAGCTCATCAATCCCAAAAGCTGAACCAAGACATTCGTACCACATTACTATGTAAATTATTCGAAAGATACAAAACTTCTCAAAACTACAGGGCCTCCAATATCCCATTTATTTGCAAGCCAATTGTCTCAAAATGCTCCTTAGAGTTAATCCAAAAAAATTTGGGAAGCATCATCATCATCAATTTCAAATGCGTCCATTCAAGAGTTAATTAACCTTTAAAGATGATCGCCTATGTGATATATTATGGTCTTAAAAGACCAACTATAGATGCTTTTAGTGGCCACCACTAAAGATCCATTAGTTGCCCAAGTCTAGGTTGGCATATTTGGTTAGCCTAAAGATGGCATCTTCGGGTCATGATCTGATCATATGAAGATGAAATCCATACTTTACCTTGTTTATATCTACAAAGAGTATTTTCGATTAATGATAGAATAGAACATCACCAATAAAACTAGACCTTCAAATGAATTCATTGTGTTGCAGAAAAAAGGGAATTAAATCTTGAAAACAGTCCCGAATCTTTAATACCGCATAATCATGAGTCAAATTCTATGAAGAAGCTCACCCAAGAATTATATTTTAGTATTAGGAGCTTTAATTTATAATCTCTCTCTCTCTCTCTCTCTCTCTCTCTCTCTCTCTCTCTCTCTCTCTCTCTATATATATATATATATATGTATGTATATATATATATATATATTTATATATATTATGGAGCTGAAATGCCCTTTAAATTGGCATATTCAAATTAAATATTTTTTATGAAAATGTCAATTCAAATAGAATTTTTAATAATTATTTTTAAAATTTTATTAATATTATAATTTAAAATTTTAATTAATTATTAAAGATGATAAAAAATTATAATTGCTTTGGAAGAAGCTAGAATTGGAAATTAATCTAAAAAAAAGTTATGTTATAAATCAATAGTTCGACTTAGTAACTCATAAAATTGAATTTGAATCCAAACATAGCACAACTGAAAATATATAAGTCAATTATACAATCTCATATGAAATATAAATGGAGTTGAACTAAAATATAAATAAATTTATTCCATAATTTTACTCAGCTAATTATTTTTTGTTTAACTTCAAAGACATAATTAAGGATATCTCCAATATTTATGCATAATTTTTAAATTCCATGTTAAAAAAATTTTTACATATCCAATATCTTAACTATGGAAGCTATATATTTATTTCTTCAACATTTATCCAATATCACAAGAATGTGCAAGTAACAGAGGATTTATAGAGGATTAAGTTGATGAGTCATACTTTAAAATTATAGAAGATAGTAATTGAACATATGTTAAGATCCAAAATCAGTTTGGATTTATGTTAGCTAGGTCTACTATGAAAGTTATACATTTATTGATGGAGATGTCCAGAGAGAATAAGGAGGATCTACATATGATTTTTATTGACTTAGAAAAAGCTTACAATAAGGTTCCAAGAGAAGTCCTTTGTAGAGTTTTAGAGAAGAAAGGTGTTGATATGACTTACATTTGAGTCATTAAAGATATGCATACAAGAGTTGTTACTTACGTTAGAACAGATGAAGGATTGACCAAGTGTTTTTCCTATTTTAGTTCGATTACCTCATGGATCAGCTTTAAGCCCATATTTTTTTTGCTTCTGTTGTGGATGCTCTGGAGGATATGCCTTGGTGTAAGCTTTTCGTTGATGATATCCTTCTTGTGGATATAACTAGAGAAAAAGTTTAGGAAAAACTTGAACTATATAGGACTACATCGGAGTCTAAAGGCCTTTATTTGAGTAGATTTAAAATTAAATACATGAAATGTAATTTTAGTAGTAATAGCTTTAGTGGCAAAGATGTAACTATGGGTGATCAAATCATTAAAAGGGGTGAACTTTTTAGATATCTCAGGTTTATTGTTCAAAGTGATGGTGATATATATGGGGATGTTATTAGTAGAATTCAAGTTGGTTGGTTGAAGTGGAGGAATGTGTCAAGCCTAATGTGTGACAAAAAAGTACCTCTTAGACTTAAAGAGAAATTTTATAAGATGATGGTAAGACCCGCAATGCTCTATGACACGGAATGTTAGTCTTTAAAAGATAAACATAAAACAAAGTTAAGCATTGCTGAGATGAGAATGTTTAGGTGAATGAGTGGCATGACACAAAGACAAATGTGAAATGAATATCTCCATGATATAGTCGGTGTATCTCCAGTGGCAGACAATATTAAATAGTCGTCTTAGAGGTTTTGGTCACATTAAACGCCGATCATCTGATTATCTGGTTAGGATGTCGACCATCTGATTATCAGGTTAGGAGAGTAGATGTTTTAGATTCAATTTATGTTACAAATGACAAAGGTTGACCTAAAAATACTTGGGCATATTGTATTAAAAAAAATTCTTAATCTATTAGAATTAAATGAAAATATGACACTCAAGCGGACGACATGAAGAAAAAGGATTCATGTAGCCAACCCACTTAGTGGGATAAAGGCTTGTTTTTGTTTTTGTTGTTGTATCTGATATCTTAACTATACATGGTTATGCTTATTGGTAAATATTTTTTAGAGCCAATTAGCTAAATTTCTTGTGCTTATGAAAAAGAAAACATCAAGTATGACAAAGTAATTTTTTGTAGGTGTGCAATCATAAGTTGTTGAATATGAGTACTTATAAATTAATATGGACAAAAAATTATATATTTATTTTTTTCTTGAATATAGTAAGCCAATTTCATTTAGATCTAAATATATGAAACTTATATTGGAAAATTTAACATACAAGACAATACAATGTTTTGCTATTGAATATAATTTTTGGCTTCTTAGTTTGAGTGTATATAAAGATTTTTATATTTTTTTACTAATTTATTAATTTATGATATTATGTAATTAACTATAATTTAAGATATATAAATCTATATTGTTATTATAAAAGTGACTTGTGATTCTACTTATATTAAATACTAACCACTGGTTTAATTTTGTTTGACGATTTTGATTCTAATCGTACATCATATATAATTAAATGCATCTAGGACAAGAGACTCTCCCTCTTCAAAACTTTAAAACTATTAGAAAAAAATATTAACAATTCAAAATCTAAGTACTTTCATGTATTCACTTGAATTGCAAAAATTAGTGTAAACATCAAAGGAATTTTTAACTATCTTTAATCAAGTTAAACAAATAATTAATATATAAGTAAAATAATTGAATGAAATTATTTATATTTTAGTTCAACTCCATATTTCATATAAAACTATATAATTGACTCTTGTTTTCAATAATATGAGAATTTGATATTATTTTAGAGGAAATAAGTAAAGTTACTTATTTATAATATAAAATTTATTAGATAAATTTTGAAGTCTAGTATCATTCAAAATAATTATAAATTTTTATTATATTTAAAAATTAATTAAGATTTTAAATTTTAATTAAAAAAAGGAAAAATTAATTATTAACAACACCCTTTGACTTGTGCTTTTATTGAAAAAACAATTGATTTGAAAATGTCAATTCAAAAGGTGTTTTACTCCTCTCACACACACACACACGCGCGCGCGCGCACACGCACACGCACACGCACACTAACATGAGAAACCTTCCCCAACCATTTTTCACGCTTACTAGGATTTGTCTTCTTAAAATTTGGTCCAAAACTATCACTACCAACGATGAACCTCATGTATGGTTACTTCCTCATATTTGCTTATCCATCAGTCAAGCGTAGGTATCTCAAATCTCCCATTTTTTCCCATCCCGACAGCTTTAGAAAAAAAACTATCAAAGGCACACGCTTAGATTCCCATGGGGGTTCTCTTTACTCAACTATCACTTGAAGAGACCTCACACACAAGACCAGCCACGTATCCGCATGATCGGCCTCTCATTCAATGAACACTTCCTCATGCCAACCTCTAGCTTGAGCTCTCCCTCTCCTTCTCCCTCATCTCTCATACACATGCCTATACGAACTATTTCTCTATTTTTTCTTCTGTACTTCGCGCCTATCCAAAAGTCCAAAAGTCCAAAAGCCCAAAACCCTCAACATCAAAGGTAGGAAAGCAAGTGGGAGCTCGCCAATAAAACCATCAATGAAATCCATGACAAGTGGAGAAGAAGGGAAACTTATAAAACTTATGGATGCAAGTTATCTCATGCAAATTCAATCGCTTCAACATCAATTCATTCTTCATGCATGTACGGTATATATGCAAACGCTCAAACTATCAAAACTAAGTACATATACACACCTTTCTTGACAAAATGGTGAAATCTTATATTTCCAAATTTCTCCTGCAAGTGAAAATCCTATAGGCGCCTTTCTTAGCATAATAGGAAAGAAGTCCTAGACGCTAAAATGAAATAGTCACATGTAACTTCCTCTATGTGGCCACCCAAAAAAAAAAAATAATGTCAAAAACTTTTTGTGCAGGTACGAAACTTCATACATATCTTTCTTACCGTGATAGCAAAGGTCGTGATGATTACAACATCCACATATGCCTTTTTTAGCACGGAGGGCAAGCTCAGACTCCGTGTAGATTCCCCCAAACATGAGAAAAATGCTGGAAGGCTATCAAAAATTATATTGAACAAACTTGTAAGAGACTTTAAAGGATCCTTTGAATACAAATGTGAAAAACAAAAAAAGTAATAATTATTACTAAAAATTGCAAAACAAGAACAAATATGAAAATCCTAAATGCAATGCAAAATGTGGTGAAAAGTGAACATAATTGAACATGAAAATGGATGAACAAAAGACCTATGTGCAACTCAACAGCTCCCCAACAAGCATAAACAAAAGATTTCAGTAACGTTTGACTATGCTGCATCTTACATTGAAAGAACTGAGAAGAATTCAAATAGAACGAGCACAAAACAAAAAGGAGACTTGATAAGTTGCCAACGAGTCAGAACGAACACTTCTCATTGCGTCAAGACCTCTCTTGAAAAATCAAGAACTCGACAAACTGTAAGCCAAACGCGATCCAAATAATAATACTCTAAGCACACGTTAAAATTTAACATTTTAAAAATTAACTGCCAAATCTGCAATACCTACAAGCAAGTAGATAGAATGTGATCTTTTAAAATTCAAAAAATGAAAAAAACGCACGCATCTGACTGACTATTTTTGCATAAACATATTAATGCTGGACAATTTCAAGTACTGAATGAATTTTAAATGTCAATTTTCAATTCAAAGATGATGTCTCAAAAGTTATACCAGTGCCTCGGAATGATATGTCCTCGAGAAATGTGCCAAACATCAAATACAAAAAATTATCCTCATGTGCTTCAAAAAACTTGCTAAACACGGGAACTTAATGCTGGGAAATGTTATGCGGACTAAAAATGAAATCAAATTATTCCTGTCTCAAAAGACGTGCAATTGCTCAAAAAATCGTAAAATCAGTTTAAGAAGTTCAAACCTTTTCCAGCTACACAATTATTAAGAAAATTTACTTCAATTTAAATATAAATTGGCAAAATTGTTGTTTTATATCTTATGTTTACACTCAAATTGGAGATCAGGCAGTGATGTTGTCTTTCCTTCATTGGGTAATCATAGTACAACAAAGCACCAATTCGCACAGTACAGCGCACATGTCAATGTTTTATACGGGCAACTTCGTAAATTGGTTATATAAATCTCTCACCCAACCTAACTGGAATACAAATGAAAGCATTACATATTATCATTCAGAAGCAATGAGAACATTACAGTCTTCATGGTCACTAATGAATAAAAAAATTTCCCTATGAGGGCTACAGATCCAACAACAAAAACAAGTAAAACAGATAGCCCCTCTACAATAGTGAACTAGGCACTCACTTGATCACAGAGGCAGAAACAAGTAACAGAAAGCTAAGCTATATAGAGCCTAAGGTTTAATCAAATAGAAAACCTATGTAATTCAGGTTTAATATTAATGGATTGGTAAACTAATGTGTTCTTCTTCATGCACTAGTCCACAAGCTAAATAAGCTTCCATTTTTGTCTGACTTAGCAGCATCTACAGATTAAACGATGCAAAAGCGAACCTCTAAAACTTTTTTTTTTTTTTTTGGCTGCAGAATGCAAGGGGACGCCTAAGTAAAATATGTCCAAAATTCCTCAATCCATAAGATCAAATTCTTTATTCAGAATAGAAGTTAGAGCTTAGCACCCAACATTATTATACCGACAGGCTTCCAAGCATCATACATGATAACGATGTTCTTCGATGCTAGTTAAATTTGATGGTAGAGAACCCAGATCATAAAAGCATTGCGCACTAGGCATGCAAAATCAAAATCAACCAGATCTGACAGAAAAATCACGTCTCACTCAAAAAGGGATGAATACCCAAGAACCAGAAAATAAGCATCCATACACTCCTCTCTCAATCACCCCAAGGAGCTAAAAATTCAGAAGCCTTATAAAAAAAAGCAGCAAAGAACAAATCTCTGGAGCAAACCAATAACCACTCCAGATAAGGAAAGGAAACAGAAATCATACTGTTAAGCTCGTGGAGCCATCGCTGGACGCTCTCGAAGGTAGTTCTGCGGGAAATGTCGTAGACAATGAGAGCACCAACGGCGCCGCGGTAGTAGGCCGAAGTGACCGCCCTGAAGCGCTCCTGCCCAGCGGTATCCCAGATCTGGGCCTTCACCTCCCTGCCGTCAATCTCCAAGCTCTGCGTCTGAAACTCCACCCCGATTGTCGCCTTCGAGTTTATGTTGAACTCGTTCCGCGCATACCTTGACAGCAAGTTCGATTTCCCT